GCCGCCAGTGAACCGCCTGGCCTTCCTCACACCGGCGAAGACCTCGCCGGTCGACCTCCGCCCCACGAAGACGACGACGTCCCCGGCCACGAGCTGCTTGGCCTTCACGAACCGGCTCCACCCGGTGCTCAGCAGGTGCCGCCGGGGGGTGCCCCTGTAGATGTGCCGGAACTCCCAGGGGCGGCCGCGGGCGTCCCGGACTGTCAGGCCCTGGTTCGGCGGCCGCGGGCCGGAGGGTTGTTCCAGCGGCGGGAAGATCACCTCCGCGCAAAACTTGGGGATGGAGAACCCGCCACCGCCGCCGGCGTCGGACGGTGTCAGGGCCTTCGCGAACGAGATCACGTCGTCCTCGGTGATGCCGCCGCTGCCGCCCGAGACGGCGGCGGCGGAGGAGGAGCGTGGGTCGAGGGGCCGGAGGAGCATCCTGACGGAGGGCTGGTCGGCCGGAGGGTCGGCGAGGAAGCGGACGGAGATGAGGCGGCAGGGAATGAATGGGCGGGAGAGGGCAAAACTGTAATTACGGAGGGAGGAGGGGGGCGAGCCGGAGTGCTCGAGGTGGCCCTCCGGGAAGTAGTAGACGTGGGAGCCGACCGGCGGGATCTCGACGGAGGAGCTGACGACGGCGCGCCAGACGGCGGGGTCGACCTCGGCGGCGGAGGAGGAGGAGGGTGAGGTAGCCATGAAAGAGAATGTGTGTTGTGTGTACTGTGTATGTCGTGACTGGTGAGTGGGAGTGTGGAGTGGGGTTATTTATAACGACCTCGATCGCAAAGCACGCGATTTGTGCTGTGTGCAGTAGAGGTGACGTCATAATTTTCTTTTCAATAAATTTAACTACAGGAAATACTACAGTTTCGGTATCATCTCGTCGAATGTTTTAACCGTTGGATCATCCATCTTATCTAACTACACGTGGATCTAATAATTAAAATACCCGACGAGATGTTACCGTAACGGGACCCTAACATTTCCCTAACGTTATTATTGTATTTTGCCAAAAAGCAAATTTTATTACGAATTCTACAGTAGTTAGGTGATTCCAAAATGAAAATTTTATTACAGATTCTCCAAAATGTAGTGTGATTACGGAAATTCATCTATAAAAGTTGTTAAAGTGTTGAAAGACAAAATAAATTAGCCTTTCCTTAGAATCATTACACGATTCCAATAATTTGATTGTCTTTACATAAACATTGCAAAATTCAAATAACGAATTGACAAAGTTATCCGAATTAATAGTTTGAATTCTATAACAATTTCAAAAGTTTTTGCTATTTTTTTAGTCATTGGATTGTACGATTTATGGGACCATCAACAATTAATCACAAATAACGAATTGACAATTGTCTACAATAAATACTCTTTTAACATGCGTGACTGCGCCAAGTTATGGATGACTCCACAAATGAATCATCTATTAGTTCCATAGAATTTTTTTTAATCCAAATTAATAATTTGCATTCTATAACAATTTCAAAAGTTTATGTATTTAAAAAATGGGAGCGTGTGTGTGGCCGGAGTCAAAGTGAAGGCATACATTTGGTGCATTGTTTTAGGCTTTTAGCTGTTGTTATGAACTCTCTTCTTATTATGATAAAGAGAGGTATTCTTATTCGAGAATCTAAAATCAAACATGTTTCATTTTAGCCCTCCATGACTTTCGCCATGACTTCCACCATTTTCTTATTCAAATGTATGGATATATATAAAATATATTTTTTTTGACCCGCCATGACTTCCGCCATTTTGACACGCCGTCCGTCATAGAAATATTGCAGTTATTTTCCGCCATGGCCCGCCAACGGCAATCGGTAACATTGATCAAAATTGATATAACACCAATAATAGCTCGGTAGACCGGTTAGCTCGAGTGAGCCGATATATGATAACTTTTAGCTTGACAGTAGGGCCCGACACTGACAAGGAGCTCGGTATAGCAGCTCGAGGTACGGTGTTGTGGTGGCAGGTTGAGCTCGTTAAGAGCTCGATCATATGAGGAGTCTTTACGATTTGGAGGTCATAGAAATGACCTAGTAAGAAATGTGGCAGTAGGGTCGTTAGGTCCGCGCAATGACGTAAGGACATGGGAAGCCTTGGCAAAAAAAGAAAATAGAACCCGGTTAAGATAGCAAGTGTATCTTGATAAAAATAGATCTCGGATTAAAGATTGGAACTTTATCAAACGTGGAGTCTTCAACACTCGAAAAAAGCCGAAAACAAAGTGAAACGAGCTAAGTCTAACATAACTAGAAGCTAAAATCGGACATCTGATTAATACATAACCATTTTTCAACAAAGTCTTGATTTTTACTATAAATGATTCAACCTTTAACCAGTTAATCATACTAGACAAGCCAAATAAAATAAAAGATAAGAACTTTAACGAAAACCGAGTCATTCCACATAAATTTTGACCAAGATGCTATTTTTACATCAAACCACGTAGTAAAAAAAATAGAGCAACTTCAAAATAACAAGACTAAACTAGGTACTTTCTTTTCTATTGCAAACTCGGACTAAATAAACGCGAAAAATTAAGAACTTTAATAAAAACGACATCGCCAAAAAATCAGTGGAAAATTTAAGTCTTGAAGCTCCAAACATAAACTAGAGAGATTAAAAAAAAAAACTAATTCCCCAACTAGAAATTTGGGAAATGAAAATTTAGTTAAAAAAATACAAGATTTATTCTATTTATAGCCACGCCACAAAAACATAATAAAAACACACCATTTAATGCATCTTCACTCGCTAGGCCGCGACATCCAATTTGCAGTGAGTGTTTTTGCTTAGCTGGTCGAGGTTCGCGTGCTCGCCTACGAAAACATAACAAAAACAAGGTTAAAACCAATACATCACATCGAGAAATGGAAATTTAAGCATCAGATATCTATACTTACAAGTACTATTCTGGTTTATTATCCTTGAACCATGGGTTGTAACTATAAACTCCTTCGTTTTTCAAGTACCGCCTACGAAACATATGTATCAAAGTTAAAACACACATAACAATCTCACATGACATACAAACATGTTCATCCACACAATGCACAGTACAATTAATACAATTCGTGAAAATTCACCTTCATGCACATTGTCGGTGCTACACTTCTCGTGTTGTTATATGACTGTTAACAACTGTTATAAGCAGGGATGGTTTGTGAACGATACAGAAAATAAACAGAAAAGACGTCGGTTTGAATCGCAGATGACGTCGGTATATATTGATTATAAATTGATATGCTTTTTTGGACTTATTACAAGTAACATTCAATATTCGAACCCTTTTTCTGAGGATTCCTCTTGCTATTTATAGTACAATAACCCCCCGTACGAGGTTGGTGTTATCGCATTAAATGTAAAGAAAAAGTCAATGGCGGCTATCTGCCACTTGTTCTTGTGGTTTGCCACCTGGATAACAGTCATGATGAGTAGCTGAGTTGGCACCGCCTTTTGATGTCGGGTTCGCATTTCGTAGATATCGGTAATTAGTTAGGCCATGACCAACGAGAGATGTCGGTTTGATGAAGATAAAAATGTAGTAAATAGCCTTATGCGAAAACCATCGCTATGTCCCAGGAGCTTTCATATCAAATAATCGAGAATCAAACTAGATAGCGGAAGCGTACCTTAGGTGGATTTATGGATTTGATCACCATGGAACATGACTTGGATCACGAACACATCCTCAATCACGAACGGTGTTGGTTTTATGGTCTTCCTCAACTAAATCGCCTTATTCCTCATATGGGACCGTCGTTCTCGATTCCGATGGGGAGAAAAGAGAACTATGTTTGATTTAGTATGTTGGGGACCATAACCAAGAGGGTCTATATATACTAATAGGGTAGGCCACCCATTATCACCTAACCCTAGTAATATTAGGTATCCACTCATTAAGTCCATATTAATTTATGTAGCCCATGAACTCTACTTAATTAGATCACTTAATTGAGTCGATTAATTAATTGAATAGCTAATATAATATAATTTTATATAATATGTTGCCCATAATTAGATTATACATAGGAAATAAAATATTTCCTAACAATCTCCCACTTGGGCTACATATTATTTCCGAAACAATTATATTAATTCTTTAATTGTGCAACTTTATGTTATTCATAATCAGACTACCTTAAACAATCTGGTCCATATCATATACTAACAATGAAACTACCGCGGCTTTCACCACATTACAAATCGTGGATAAACCCCGGAAGTCACCATACTAGTACACTCAATGACATAGATCAAATATGGTGAGTGACATGGAAATTACATGCAATGTGATCTTTAACATGTCTATTTCCAACTGGTCCAACTTTAAATCCTTAGTGAGATCAATCCATAATTGCAACGCAAAGTCGCAAAAATAGAAAACTATAGTGATTCATAACGAATCGGAACCATCAACTTTATTCTGCAGAAAACTGAAGTTATGACATTCAAGAAAACATTGAACACCAACTCCCACTAAACCAAGGCACTATCCATAGTAACACTTATATGAGCGATATACTCATAAAATACTTTAAGTGTTACCTTAGCATACCTTATGATGGAGCTATGAATTTGCTAGCATAAATTCATCTTTATGTGTTCAATAAAAAATTCATCAACATGAATTTTATCCTTAGCAACAACATATGGCAAATTAATATTATCACAATAGAACTTTAGTGGTATTCAGTACCACCCGCAACATGCAGCCTCGTGATATTATTATGCAACTATAACCTTATAAGATGCCTTCAGATAAGCTAAATCTCGATTGCTAAAGAGGAATAAACTATAAGTGTCTGCTTGGCACTTTCCAAATTAGTTTTTCCAACTAGCAGTTAATGTAGCTTGACTTAAATTTGGATCGTTCAACTTAACAGACATCTAATAAACTCAAAGTTAGAGTTCCAAATGATCTCCCAAATGATCCAATAATCCTTAAGTGAGTGTAAACTCTCTTTTGTTCTCAAACAAAACTAGAAAAAAAACCCTTTGGCTGCATTCAAAAGGTTAATAATCAATATTCAATCATTTGTCAAATAATTACATGTAGGCGAAATCCAAATACATACATTCTTGAAAATACAAAAGATTACCAACCATACGTAGATCTTTTGTCTATTCTAAACTTTAGACTCATTCTTGGGACAATGAATGAGATAGATAACTTAAGTTTTCTTAAGAGTATCTACCACTCAACCTATAGTATATACAATTATTAACTTTATTTATCTCGATAAAAATGAGATAATGACTTAAGAAAATTGTAATACCATAGAAATAATTAACTTAATATTAAATACTTCAAAATGACATAGATTACAAAGATTTTCTAATCAAAACCAAAAGAAAAGACTCTTGTAACCAAAGTCCATATTTAGATGAAACTTATGTTGACTAGACATACCTTATGTCTCTCATTATTGTCTTATGAATCTATTAAACCACATTTATGACCAATGAGAATCATACTTTTAGACAATTTGACAAGACCTCAAAATGTCAATTCATACATAATTTCATCAAAGCTTCATGTATACTTATTTGAGGTGGTTGAGTTTGAATTTCGGGACCATATTTGCATTTCTAAAAAATGCTTTATAACATTATTCTTTATAGCCTTATCTCCCACTCAAGCTCAACTTCCTCAAATGAACTTTAAATTCATTATTAACAAAAAGCCTTATAGAATTTTGAATGAGTAATTACCCACAATCTTTAGTCCATAATTACTTATAGACATGAAAGTCTTACCTTAGTTGGACAACACCAAAGTGTAAGCTGAAAATCCATAAGGGATGTGGGTTTTACTCAATTCACAAACTCTATTAATAATGAATCACATTGCTTCTCACATTATTGACAAAGAGGAGTAGTCAACCACATTTCTTAACAAAATTGAGTTAGATTCATATGCCTTGTACCACTTAAAAATTTGATTGCTTTATGTGAGTGACAAAACAAGAAAACTTACTCACGAAATACTTAAGTGGTACAAAACTAAACTAGCTAACTCATATTGAGAAACAAACTTTAGAATGTGGATTGATGAAGGATAATTTGTACATTAAGTCTTCTCTCGTCCATTTTT